CACCGCGGGCGGCGACGGACTGAGGGTGAGTGCTGCAAGTTGCGTGCAGCCTCCCCTCCTAGCTGCCCGCGGATCCCTGACAGTTTGTGTTTGTGAACAGCAATCTTTAAGTCTGACCACAGATTTTCTATTGGATTAAGGTCTGGGCTTTGACTAGGCCATTCAAACACATTTACATGTTTCCCCTTAAGCCACTCAAGTGTTGCTTTAGCAGTGTGTTTGGGGTCATTGTCCTGCTGGAAGGTGAACCTCCGTCCTAGCCTCAAATCACGCACAGAGTGGTACAGGTTTTGCTCAAGAATATCCCTGTATTTAGCACCATCCATCTCTCCCTCAACTCTGACCAGTTTCCCAGTCCCGGCTGCTGAAAAACATCCCCACAGCATAATGCTGCCACCACCATGTTTCACTGTGAGGATGGTGTTCTTTGGGTGATGTGATGTGTTGGGTTTGCGCCAGACATAGTGTTTTCTTTGATGGCCGAAAAGTTAAATTTTAGTCTCATCAGAGACTAACAGGCTTTCTTCTGGCTACTCTGCCATAAAGCCCAACTCTATGGAGCTACGGCTTATTGTCGTCCTATGTACAGATACTCCAGTCTCTGCTGTGGAACTCTGCAGCTCCTCCAGGGTTACCTTAGGTCTCTGTGCTGCCTCTCTGATTAATGCCCTCATTGCCTGATCAGTGAGTTTTGGTGGGCGGCTGTCTATTGGCAGGTTTGCTGTTGTGCCATGTTCTTTCCATTTGGTTATGTTAGATTTGTTGGCGCTCCTGGGGATCATCAAAGATTTGGATATTTTTTATAACCTAACCCTGACTTGTACTTCTCAATAACATTGTCCCTTCCTTGTTTGGAGAGTTCCTTGGTCTTCATGGCAGTGTTTAGTTAGTGGTGCCTCTTGCTTAGGTGTTGCAGCCTCTGGGGCCTTTCAAAAAAAGGTGTATATACGTGAAGACAGATCACGTGACACTTAAATTGCACGCAGGTGTACATCATTTCACTAATTATGTGACTACTGAAGGTAATTGGTTGCACCCGTGCTTTTTATGGGCTTCATAACAAAGGGGGTGAATACATATGCACATGACAATGTTCTGTTTTCTATTTCTAAAAAATAGTTTTATGTATATATTTTTCTCATTTCACTTCACCAACTTAGACTATTGTGTTCTGATCCATCACATACAATTCAGATTAATAAAACATTGAACTTAGGGCTGTAATGTAACAAAATAGGTAAAAAGTCAAGGGGGTGAATACTTTTGCAAGGCACTGTTCACAATCTACCAATACTTCTCTGTGATAAGCATTGGATAGGCCAGGAGAATATCAGTAAGTAAAGACTTCATGTGCCAGGTGCGGAGGATTTTCGTAAGCCTTTTTTATGGAAATGCATAAAATCAAAAGCTGACTAAAAATTTAATAATCTTTAAAGTGCCATAATAACCCAAGAAACACTTATCAATACAACAGTCAAGCTATTAAACCTGCTCCCACCAGCCACCTATCAGGAAATGCACTTGTGCATCACGCATACTATTCACCTCAAAAACAATTCTCTCTAAAACTTAGAGACACAACCAGTTGTCCAAAATGTCGGACTGATGGAGCAGACCTTTAACATTGCTTCTGGGGATGTGCAGGAATCGAAGCATAACACAACTACTAGGTAAAACTTTTTAACTATCTCCCCATTATTATTGCCAATATTGGGAATGGTGGAGAAACATTCAGGACAGATCATAAAACTAACCCATATAATCCTAGCTGCAGAAAGTATACTGCATCATTGGATAGAGCCATCTCCCTCATTGCTAGCAGTAATCCACACAAAAAAATGTCTTACCACAACCCAAATGGATTAGGCCTTAAATCTACTTTAAGGTACCGGAAAACTTGACAAAGACCTCCTAGTAGGTCAAAACATTGCTGCTCCTTTTTTTTGTTCTATTAAAACTGCCTGCGGCTTGAACACCTTGAGTGCCTGGAGAATGTCTTTTGTTGTCTTAAATTTACTTTAGACTTTACTGACTGGTATATATATGTATGTATAAATTGTGCATTGTATTTGTGTGTTCCTTAAAGGAATACTCTAATCACTATAAGTCTGCTGTAGTGGTTATAGTGCCAGAAATGGTCTTGTGCTGTCACACCATAAATTGTGAATCTGTTTTGTCATGGTGTGATTCTTACCAGGGTCCTGCTGGGAGCTCACACTGCCCCCTTCTCAAGTTAGAAGCCATATGTCTATTCATTGGCTGAGGGCATCAGCTAATACTCTAAGTCAGGGAATGAGCTCCTATCTTGCACAAAATTGACACCCAACATGGCTCTTCCCTGCTTACTTTCTCAGTTTGAGGATATTTTAGACAGAGGGCGGATGAGAAGCTGAGAGGGCTGTTGTGGGAGTATGGATAAGATACAGGCTGTAGTGGGTGCAAGGGTTATAGCAGCTGTAGAGAGGGGGCTAAGTCCTCTATTGGGTGCAAGGAGACTTAGGGGGATATAATGGATGTAGGGGGGGGGCTCTAGTGGGAACAGGAATAGGCTAGGAGATTAGCAGTATGTAAAGGGGGCTGTAGTGGGGGATAAGTGGAAGCTGGGGGATAGGGGCTGTAGTGGGGGATAAGGTTGTAGTGGGCGGATGGGGGGGATAGTGTCTGTAGTGAGTGTAGGGGAATTAGGACTGTAGTGTTTTAGATGGTAATAGGGACTGTAGTTGGTTCTGGGGCTATAGGTAGTGTTGTGATGGGTTAAGGCTGTAGTGGGTGCAGCGGGCATAGGGTCTGCAATGGGTGCCGGGATTTATAGGGGTTTTTGGTGGGTGTTGGGGGAATAAAGGCTATAGTGGATGCAGGGATTAATAGTGACTATAGTGGAGATAACGCTCTAGTGTGCGCTGGGGCTATAGTGGCTGCAATGGATGCAGTTGGGATAGAGGCTTTAGTGGGTGTAGGTGGCATAGTGGATGTAGAGGCAGTAGTGTTGGAAAGGGCTCACATGGGTCCAGGGGCAAGGGGCTGTAGTATGTGTAGGGGATATAAAGGCTGTAATGGTGCAGGGGAGCATAGGTGTTGGTATTTTCAGTAGAAGTGGGCATGGGGACAGTAGTCATTGTAAGGAAGGATAAAGGTTGTAGTGGGTGCAGGAGTTATAGGGGCATTCATACAATTTATATGTGTGCTTATCTTTCATGCCATTGTGTTCTGTAATGAATGGATAATGACACATTGATCCATTCTATGCAGTCTTGGGATTCTTATTTTGGGCAGAACCAAGGAGATATATGTACTGGTTTGGCATCTGCTCCAGTTTATTGATGGCACCTGAACTTTTATAAATAACCTTGATTACTAAATAACCCTGCAATTTCAGATTTAATGATCAAATGAATATAAAAATATTGAAAAATGTGTTAGAGTCTGGGGATACACATAGGAATATTTGTACTTGCTTTGTGGCTCTCTTTTCATTTATTGAATACATTGAATGGGAAATAAATACAGCAAACTGTCACACTGTGATGGATCCACTCATGTGATATAACAGTAAAATGTGATCATTGTAGTCATGAAGGTGGTTATAAAACAATTAATATTTTCCATTAATAACATGGATGATTAAAGTGGAACATATATTACTGCTTTTAGTTTTTATTTTATTTTCTCCATTCAGTATTTTATAAAAGACGTTAATCTTCTGTTAAGATGAAAACAGGAT